CATACAGACCCATAGGTGGGAGTGACAGCATGAGGAACCCACACTGGAAACAGCCAGTCTGGATCCAAGGGAGCTCCCAGCCACAAAGCCAGAGGCTGACACCCAGACCAAAGGGTAACTGCTGAGGCAGGGAGCAGGTAACACTGAGGTCGGTCCTGACTCTCCCAGAAAAGTAACACTGGAGTCAGTACTGACGCCCCCAGAAGAGATAGGTCAGGGCTGTGGCAGCCTCACACCTCGAGGTCTTTTTACTATGAGGGGAGTGATACATACGAAGTGCTGAAAACTCTGTATGAGGCTGCAACTGACGGATCAGCGTCCTCACTCCAGGGGGTCATTCCCACCTCATCTCGGAAATGAAGAGGTGGCACCCATGCTGGGAGGGCTTGGCCCTGGAAGGGGTGACCCCGCCCGCACTGAGGTCCCCTGTCCTGGGGGGCTCGCAGCCCCTCACCCATGTGAAGGCGGCAGCCCCGCCCAGAGGCCGCCCCCCACAGAAGGGACTGCTGCGAGATCGCGGACACCTGAGCTTCGGGGCGCCTGCATCCACAAGGCGAGGAGCCAACGCCGACGCGGAGGAGGCGGCACCTCGCACCCCGCGGGGCCCGACGCGGACACCACGCGGGGCCGGGGTCGCGGGCCGACCCCCGGGCGACACCGAAGAGCGCGGAGGAGGGAGCGGGAGCCGCGGGAGGAGGGTCCCGCGCACAGCCAGGACGGCGGACGCCGGGGCCGCCCTGCCGGGAGCCAGAACCGCACCGGGGGCTGGGGGCGCCCAGCAGGGTCGGGGGCGGCCATGTCGCGACAGGCGGTGGTGTCGCAGGGGCTGGGGCGGCAGGGAAGGCGGTCGACGGCGCCTCGGGGAGGAGGGGAAGGGGTCTGGCCCAGTCGAGCCTGACGCTCTCACCACAGGAGCTGGCGCCGCCGCTGAGGAGCGTATCGCGATAGGCGGGGGAGGCGAGCGCCCGCCGCCTTTTTCTCGCGCCCCGGGCCCGGGCGCTATCGCGATAGCGGCGCGAAGCGGAAGTGGGGTAGGGGTAAGTGGGCCCGGGGTTGTTCTGACGACGGGGTCGGGGCTCAAGGGAGGCCGCGGCGTCTGCCGATGGCTCCGCGGAAGCTGACGGGCCCGGTCCAAGATGGCGGCGGCGGAGGAAGCCTCCCCTCCTCTCTTCTCGTCTCTGGCGCCGACCCGCCCCCGAGCCCTAAATATAGGCCTATCATTGCTCCTGCCGCACGTCGCTCTTGCCCCTCGAGCGCGCCCTATTGGTCCTTGTCACGGATGGGGCCGGCCTCCCCTCGCTGATTGGGCAGCTTCTCCAAGGCGCGGCGTTCGATTGGCCTCCCTCGCAGGTTGCTAGGATTGGCTCAGGTTTTCTACACCGCTCCTCCTGCTCCTCCCGCCTCAAGGCACAACACGCCAGCGCGAGGGCCCGTGCGTCAATCAAGAGGCCTGTGTCGTGCTGATTGGATGTATCCGCCTCCCTCTCCTAAGCCAATTGGCCGCAGGGAGGAGTTAGTCTGATCAGGGGAGGGAAGTCGTCCGTCAGTTTAAAGCTGTTTTTAATTGGTTGTGGGTGAATATTCTTCCCTGAAGCCATTGGTTGCTCCTGGAAGTGGGTGAGGAAAGCGGAGGAAAGCGTGGAGAGTGGGCGTTAAAGACCGCGTACCTAATGGGAGACGAGGCAGTTGCCTTTAAAGTAGGGGCCGAGCTGAAGTAATCTGCCAATCAAAACAGTCCCTAGGCCTGGCTGGCCACGGGGTAGTAGCTGGGCAAGAGGGTCCACCCCTTTCTCTCGTTGGCACTCACTGTCATCACTCATCCTAGCTTGTCCAATAGCGTAGCGAGTGGGCAGTACCCACTCCTAAAGCGTGTGAAACGGCATTAGCAGGCTGGCTTGGGAACTGGCGCATCCTTCGGCATCCTTCGAGTGCCGGCCAGGCAGGCTGGTCTCTGTCATTCAGCTGCATAGTCTTCCTCCGAGTGCCTGTGTTTGGCAGATCTCTGAGACTCAGTCCTTGCTGAAGGAAGGCGGGAAGGACGCAGGAGACAGTACCCCAAGTCACTGGCACCACGCATAGCTGAATTAATTGGGAAGCGCCACGGAGGCATGGAGTTTTTGTCTTGCCTATGATGGCTACGTAGCTGTGGGACAGTAACTCTCCTCTACATCTCTGTTTCCTCGGTGTCGTAAGGATGCTGCAGAAGGTACAGATGAGATTACACTTACCTTCCCAGGGTTCCCTCCTAACGTCTAGTCTTTCATATCTCAGCTCCATGTTCTTCTGGGGGGATGGCGGGGGACTTCCTTCACATTCCGTGCAGAGTGCTCTGTGAGCCCTGTTCATTTGGACTGATTTCTGCACGTATGCCATCATTTTCATAATTATTTGAGTCTGTCCCTCCGGGTTTTGCATCCCCAGGAAGCAGAGTAACCCCTTTGCTGAATGAAGGAATGCAAGGAATGACTTCTGGTTGACTTGCTAAGCACGGGTGCTTTCATGAACCTTGGGCCATGAACCTCAAGGCATTGTCCAACTCCTCTACTGGAGGAACGTCAGATAAACCCAAGGGGGATGCAAGTAAGAACTGATAGGAATCGCAGTAGGGAAGGGCGGGAAGAATGCTTGTAAAAGTTCAATGTTCCTAGGCCCACACAGGCCTGGGGAGTGAAACCCAGAGATTGTACTTGTACAAACATCCCTGTGCTCATTAAAGCTTGAGGGATATTGATCTAGAGCAGGGGTCCGCAAACTTGAGACGGAAGAGCCGCCAGGGGTCAGCAAACTGTGGCTCGCGAGCCTCTGAAGTAAAATTGAAAATAAAACTATCATAGTTTCATTTATAAAAATTTTAAAGGATATTATTTCACGTAATGGTGATTTCATTTGTTTCATAGGTCTCGCAAAACTTTTAAAATTGTTTTTAAATTGTTGTGAGGGACAGGATTGGCTTTCCCAGGGGTTGGCAAACTTTTGAGATGGAACGTACCCAGAGCTGCATGTGGCTCCCAAGTCACAGTTTGCCAAACCCTGATCTAGAGCTTTGCTCTTCCAAGGGTGGACCCTGGACAGGACAGTGCCTCTCACTTTCCAGGAACAGTTGGGAGTTGGTTAAAATGCAGATTCTGATTTAGGAAGTCCCATATTCTGCTTTTCTCACAAGTTCCCAAGACCGGAGGGTCCACAGTTCACACTTTGAGTAGTAAGGATCCAAAGCACTGGTTCTCAAACTTGGCTGCACATTAGAATCACCTGGGTGGCTTCAAAAAAACAATCCAGATACTTAGACCAATGAAGTCAGTATTTGTGGGGATGGGAACCAGATAGCGGTAATTTTTTCAACTCCTGAGATGATTCCAACATGCAGCTAATCTGATACATAGGATTTTCTAGTGATGGTTTTCATATGGTCCCTGGACCAGCAGCATAAACATCACCCAGGAACTTAGAAATGCAGTTTTGAGCCCCCATAGACCAAAGGAATCAGAAATTCTGGGCCCAGCAGCCCCTGTTCTAATAAGCCTTCCAGATAATTCTGAGGCATATTAAACTTCAAGGATCTTTGTTATAAGTGTACACAGGATGGCAGGACCAGGTGACAGATTCTTTCCTGAGATCCCCCCATCCCCATTAGATTCACTCTGGCCAGGAGAGATGGGGATGCTGAGGAACTGTGCTTAGAGGGCCCTGCCCTGGCACCCCTAAGCAGAGGTCAGCAAAGGCTGTCTGTCACTTTACACAGGGCTGATCTAAAGGCTCAGTGATAAACTTGAAGAAATAGTCATGTGACCTGAGAGACTTTGGCCATTAGAAGTAAGCTCCCAGGTGTCCAGACTCTGACCTAAGGAGGAGACAGATTCAGAGAGCCAGTGGGGTCCAGAGACAGAGCCCTGGGCTGAGGGAGAGACTGGGGTCCAGGAACACACATGGGGCCCTGAGTGGAGACAGGCAAAGCCCAGAGAGGAACAGAAAAAGTGAGATCTCAGACCAGACCCAGGGATGCGCTGGACAGTGGGAGATGGGCAGAGACAGGCAGCACCACCTTCCTGCAGGGCTGGTTCCTGCCTGTGCACCTACCTCCTGGGTAATGTGGGGGTTCAGAACGAGCCACCCCAGTATGTGCCTCAGTGGTATCAATTGAGACTCAAGAGAAACTTCTCCCCCTCCCCTACTAGAGGAATTTGAATTAGGAGCCATGCCCATCATAAGATTATCAGTGATAACGTGTTAAGTTTGGTTCTTTTCTCATTAATATGTCTCATGTCTATTTGATTATTAGACCAGTCGAAAGAACCTTGAGGGTAGAAGAAAGCTTCTTCCTCCACCACAGTAACTGGGAGGGGTAAGGGACCAGGCCTCCTCCTTGGTGTCACTGTGAAGCCCAGCTTGGGTCACAGGGCAGATAGGGCTGGGGGCAGCACTCTCCCTGAATTGGCCCTTGCAGGGTAACGGAGGTCTCAGGCCACGTGCCCGGACCAGACAGCGTTTCTCCCCACCATGTAGTCCATGTACCCCCTTAGCCTGCACCTTTGAGCCAAAGTGGAGGCCTTGGCTGGACCCACTTCCCGAGATAGACTAGGGGTTCCTCTTGCATATCTGGCAGAAGCGTTTATAGCAGTAAGTGAGCTGCACGTGAGTTGGGCTTGGCACAGCACGGGGGAACACCCAGCAAACACTGGATGGAAATAACAAGTGCAGTTGGGGGCCCAGTGCTCAGCACCCCCGGGCATCTTGTGGTGAGTGTGGAGGCCACTTGCTCATGGTCACCCAGGTCGGCCTGCCTTGAAAGCCAGGGCTTTCAGCAGACACATCACTTGGGTGTCAAAAACGACTGATGTTCCTCGTTCCTCGGAGGAGTCTGGGGGTGGAGAGGGTGTTCCTCTTCCTGGGACCCCTTGACAAGGAAGTGACGGGCCCCGGATCCGCCACCCCCAATCGGGAACCCACGCTCTGTCTCCCAAACCTGGAAGCTGACTCCTCCAGTCATCCAGGTGTCTGACTCACTTCCAGGGCAGAGCCTGCCAATGTGATTTTAATTGCAGTTTTTCCAACAGTGTCTCCTCTCCCAGTTAAAATAAAGACAAGGTGTGGTGAAGACTGGCTCTGCCCCCCTAGAATGGGGCAGCAGTCTTGGCGCTGGGGGCTGGGCCTCGCTCTGTACCTCCTTGAACAGTTTAGGTGCCCACCAATGGCAGGGTGGCTCTCCCTGCAGCAATCTCCCAGCCCTGACTCCGACCCCTTCAGACTCATGGGGCCTCCGTGTCCCTTCAGTGGGTGGCCACCCAGGGCACTGCCCCTCAGGTGGACATGATGCCACTCTTCTCGCCCTTGACCTTGAGGAACTCGGCCATGCTGGAGAAGTATTTCTGGTTGGCCTCGGCCACCTTCTTCTCTGCTGCTTGTGGGTTCACAATCTCCAGGCCCTGGGCAGGGAAGGAAGGAGAGACGATGGGGATGGGGAGATGCCCCCCACCACCCCCCACCTGTTGTGTGAACAGGCAAAGCAGTGGAAGCCCAGGGAGGGACGGGGGCTTTCCTGACCCTAGCAGGCAGGCCGGGACGTTACCTGGAGCGGGGTGAAGGCCACGCTTGAAGCAGTCCCTGAGGAGCGGTCTCGGATGGTAGACTTCCCGCCATACACTACACTCTGCTTCTGCAGGGTCCGCTGTGGGGGAAGGGGAGGGCCAGGCTGTGACAGGGCTGTCCCACCCTTGTCCACCTCATCCCAACCCACCCAGGCCTGGCTGTACCTGCAGTGTCTTGGAGATCCTGGCTTTGGTGGCCTCGTTCACCTGTGTCTGCCGCACCCGCCCGCTGCCTGACTTGCCCAGGTGGCCCAGGCTGAAGCCCAGGTCCTCCTGGTAAGCATCCTCCTCGATCTGGGGGAGGGAAACGCATCCTGGAGTCAGTCACCCCCTTATCAGCTCAGCAGGTCCTGTAGGCAACTGTTCAGGCACCTTCTGGGCCCCAAGTGCAGTGAGCTTTGCTGAGGCCTTGGGTGACACTGGAGGTCCACAAGGTTACTGCTCCCCAAGCTGACAGGTGAGAAGGGCCGTGTGTGTGTGTGTGTGTGTGTGTGTGTGTGTGTG